CGGCAACTGAACCAATTGGATGATATCGCTACTGCAACTTCTTCTTTTTTTCCGTAAATAGCTAGGCTATTGTGCTTGGTCAAAACAAAATTTTGCAACGGCGGCTGCAAATCTCGTGCCCCTACAGCGGCGATGGGACAAATTTGTGGCTTTGTCGCTGGATCTCGGATTCCTCTTCAACAGTGATGACAATTATTATTTTTTGTTTTATTTTTGGTGAGTTCAACAATGAGAGCACCAATTGATACGATATCGTATCTGATAGGGAAGAACTTCGAGCGTCTTCGAGCTCCAAGAAAGGGGAGGTAAGGAGAGAAGGAAAACTTCGAGCGTTTCCGAGCTCCAAGAAAAGAGAGACGAGAGATTAAGAGAATTCTTGATTATTGATTGATTGATTAATAATAAAACGGGATTACAATATATAGAGATGAGACGCCACACCTACATGACCTAATGGGCTCGGGCCCATACAAAAACCCTAATCTATAAAATACTAATAAATAATAATAATTACCTACTAAATAATAATATAACTAATTAAAATATTCTAATTAACTATCCGTATCAGAGGGCTATCGAAAGAATAAATACCAATTATAAAGTGCCATGCTGATAGTTATTATTTATTGATGATTAATATAAAAAATAGTACTACATATATTAGAAAGAATCATTTTAGAAATTCACTTATGTAATGTTTGGTGACTAGATTTAATTTGAAATATTAGATTTCGATTCTAATATTTGAAATCTTGTGATTTTAAATCTCAAATGTTGTTTGAACAACTATAGAATTTTAATTCTAGAATTTAAAATTGGTATGTATGAAACTATCCTTGCATAAGGAAAGATAACTTATTTTATTGTAAGTTGTAAATTAAAGAAAAATTAGATTTATATTTGTAAACGACAAGGAAAGATGTGAATTTATAACTGAGTTTAAAGTAGAATTTTTTTAACCAAATCTAAATCTTAATTCTTTGAAATCTCAAACAGATAATTTTGATCAAATCCGAAATTTAAATCTAAATTCTCAAACTTATTATCAAATTATTTGGGTGTTTGTTAAAGGCACGGATTGGATGAGCTATAGTGTGACCTATTGAAGGAAGGAGAGAGTCAACGAAAATGTAAAAAATAGCAACCTCAATGGTCCCCCATTATTCACTTGTAGTTGTGTTTGCAATTTATAGAGTGTACATGTGTGTGTAAATAAATACATATATCAATTTATACTGTAGTATCATATATTTTTATTTTCCAAGTAAATGTCTATCGTCATTGGACATTGTTCAAACTAAATATCCATTATCACTGGACATTATTTACACCATTAGACATTATTCAAGTACTATTTAAAAAATAAAAAAGTTTAAGTACTACATTGGAAATATGACATATGTTTTAATATTATTTAATGCAAATCTCACTTATTCTTAAAAAGTACATTTATTGACAAAGGTTGTTTTTCGTTTAACTGTTTTTTTAGCTTATTATTTATTTTTATTTAAATCAATTAGATCAAAAACAATTTTAAAAATAAATACAATCAAATCGATCAAAACAAACCATATCCAAGCTTCAAAAAATCAGATAAAGTGAATGAAACGCGACTTAAGAATATAAAAATACATTGGTGTACCAAATATTTTTACTTTCATTGTTTACTATTTTATAATAAAACTCATTTTAAACTCTTAAAACATTGCGATATGATTTTAACTCATTTTGTATGACATGATACGGTACAGTTTCTAAGTAATATGGTACCATATAATTTTAATCGTAAAATCAAACCATTTCAATAGTAATGATACAACATAAGTTTTATTGAAATCTCGAAGTGTCACGAAGTGTATCCATCCTTTACTACAATCTTACACATGAAGAAAAAATATTTCTTAAATGAAGTAGGTCTTTTGCAAAAGAAAAATATTCACATACAATTTTTTTTTAAAAATGTGACAAGATTAACATTTAAAATGCAAAATTTGAGACCATGTAAACATTATTCTAAATTTCCATCATAATTCAATATTTTTTCTACAATTTATTGTCAACGTTTAAATTAAATTTGTCTTTAAAAGTTAAACTGAGAAGATTTAAAAGGAGCGAGTGGTAGTATAAACGAACCCATTTGATACGTGATTTCGGCATCTCCCTGTAACCCGTCTATTATTGGGCCCAAAAACCTGTCCAAGAGGATCCTTTAAAATTTCACACATGACTAAAGGATGAAAAGCCTGGCCCATATCCAACTCTAAAGCATTCCTCAATTTATTGATAGAACAGATTAACCCAACAAAAGACACTCTTCAAAGTTTATATATATATATATATATATATATATATATATATATATATATATATATATATATATATATATATATATATATATATATATATATATATATATATATATATATATATATATCCATTGACACAAGCAAGTTTTATCACAACGACAAAAGAAGCCCATTAAATGAGCATATGACCCAGACTCAATACGGACCGACACGAGGAAAGCCCAATGGGCTCCAACCAACACATTCCCACACAACAACAAAGATGTTTTCTGAACATTTTCAGAGCTCATTTTTGTACCAGAAAACACCCTTGTTCTTGCCCCCTCCATCTGTCTCCACATAAATGCACTCCTTGGCTTCCCTAAACATCGCCGCGAACACCGGTGTGTCGTCGAACCGATAGTACTCCCCGAGTATCGGCTTGATCGCCTTTGTCGCCTCCATTGCGTGATAGTGGGGCATGGTGGAAAAGAGGTGGTGCGCCACGTGTGTGTCTGTGATGTTGTGGAACACCTTGTTTAGGATCCCGTAGTCCCTGTCCACCGTCGATAGGGCACCCCTTAGCCAGTCCCACTCCGTGGAGTCGTAATGCGGCAACGCGGGGTGGGTGTGCTGCAAGTAGGTGATCAACACAAGGAATCCGTTCACGACGACCAACGGGCACCCGTAGACGCAGATGACCCACGCTAGCCCTTTGGTTGCCGCTAGCGTGTAGAGAATGTAGGTGACGATGAAGATCCCGATGTCGGAGACGAAGATTTGGAGCCTCTCCCGGTCCGAGTATATGGGGCCGTATGGGTCGTAGTGGCATGCAAACCGGGGGTACGGGCGACCGGAGACGTTGAACATCAGGTAGAGTGGCCATCCGAAGGTGAGTTGGAAGAGGAGAGTGAAGGCTCTACCGGGCGGGTTGTTGAGGATCTTGGTGAGTGGGCCGAGGGCGGATTTCTGTTTAGGGACAAAGACCTCATCCCTGTCGAGGGACCCGGTGTTGGAGTGGTGGCGACGGTGGCTGTATTTCCATGAGAAGTACGGAACTAAGAGAGCCGAGTGGAGGATAACTCCAACAGTGTCGTCAAGCCACTGGTAGTCACTGAAGGCATGGTGGCCGCATTCGTGCGCGATCACCCACACCCCAGTGAGCACGCAGCCCTGGCAGATCCAGTAAAGGGGCCACGCCAAGTAAGGGAGTGGGTGAGGGAGGAGATGGAAGTAATTGGTTGCGGCGTAGTAGAGGAGTGAGGCAATGATGAGGTCATAGGCGACATATGAGAACGAGCGGGCCACCGACCGTTTGAAACAATGGGGCGGGATCGCCCTCTTGATCTCGCTTAAGGTGAAAGGCGGTTTGGCAAACGGGACCCGTTGAATGTCTTTCGGTTCGGCCATTCTGCCTCCCGCGCCCATTTTTTATTTGTTTCTGCAAATAAGAGAAAGAGATTAACATAGATCTTGCAAGCTTAATCCATTTTGAAAATCTGTGAATAGAAGTTAAAAGAATCAAATTCCATATCAATCTTTACAATAAAAGAAGAGCACAAAGCATCACTTGCAAATGTGAGATGGGGCAAGTGGACCAGAGGTGATCTCTGAAGAAGACAAAGAACAATAAATAATAGTCCCAAGTTGGGCCAAGCCTACCTAACTGCGTCATAATAAACAAATAGTCGCTTGACATGCATCAGTTCAAGAGACATCACATGTTTCTGGTGGTCCTAACGAAGGATTATTCAGTCTATTTGTTGGCATTGATTTTGATCAGTCAATTGCCAATGGATCTAAAGGAGTCATTATTGACAATGTTTTAGCTCCATAATTAAATCAAAATGGAATGTTAAATTCCCCTACTTATTTTCTGGGAAATTTTGGACAGTAAATGCATCTAGAGTCTAACGGAAACAGCCACGAAACAGGGGTAACAGTATGTACATCTGAACCCGCTAGACCCTAACAGAATTGAGAATTTTAGAACCTGTTTTTGAACGAAGGGGTATTGACACTAACGATGTGTAAACACCCCGGTTCATGTGACACTGACTTTCAATGCCATAGCATGGCCCCGGACTCCTACGATGCTTTCCTACTCAGCTCCCCCTACACCACCCTCCTCTTCACCGATTGGCTAGGGACCAATGTAGGGGGATGTAGGGGAATGCAGGGGGACAGGGGGAGGTGTAGGAGGAGTTAGGGGAGTAGGGACCATCAATTTTACCAATAGAGCATCAAGGGAGGCTTAGATCATCCTATGACATTGAGTTCAATGTCACAAGAACCAGCCCGTACTATAAATCCTAGTCACAATTAGGAGACGGGAAATAAAGAAAACGACAGACACAAGTGGGGAATTAGGATGGCAAAGCTGAAATTGAATCGCAATGACCCATGCACTGATGTTGCTGTTATTCAATCAACATATAAACTGCTGTATTTAGAAAGGAAAATTAAAACAATTTAGTAGAGAGTTGTCCAGTTTTCTTATGCCATTCAAGTCAAACAAGGAAATACATAAAGTGCAACTTAATTGTAGGAAATTTAAGTTCACATTAATTTTAAGAGAAATTTGTGCAAGATTGGGTCTTTTAGGATTGACTTAAACAAAAGCCATCTACAATTGTGGCAAAAATCAAAACAAAAAAGGCATAAAATATGCTTTTTAGTGAATGCAACTTTTTCCCCATTAACCTTTTTGTTTTATGTTTAATCCTAGCAAAACAGCCTGAAGAGAAGGAAAATTGCTCTAAAGATGTAAGGAAGTCTATAAGTTTAGGCACAAAAGTTTGGTGCACTTTTTTGCCAAAAACAACTACTGAATTTACGATCATAAATGTTACAAAAAACATGAATTCTGGAGATCCTTGAATAAAAATAGAACACACAAATTTTGACCTGAAATACAGATATTTTATCATAAAAATTAAAAAAAAAGTATCCTTAAATTCGCCAGCTTGAAGCGAAAGACTACCGTGGAAATGGATACACAAGTCAAGAAAGATTGAGTTGCCACAAATTGAATAGCCTTTCATTTATTTATGTGTTTTCATTTATCATTTGATAAAATAAAACATAAATGTCACCTTTTGTTTTGTAAAAGTTATGAAGTAGTATTTAAATATGTACTCCGCAAGTTTTATTTATCAATTCTATACTAATTTGTAAATAAAATGAGTTAGAAACATATGTTTTTGCATCGTAATTCCTTCAGTAACTCTAATTTTGGAATACTATCAATTCCCAGTCTGAGTTAGGAAATGGTAAATAAAGAAAACGACGAACACAACTGGGAAATTAGGATGGCGATGCTGACCTTGCTGTTGTTCAATCAAAATATAAACTGCTGTATATAGAAAAGAAAAATAAAACATTCTAGTAGGCTTGTACAGCTTTACGCTATTCAATTCAAACAAGGAAATAAACGTGCAAGTTTGCAACATGTTAGAAAGTAGGTTTACATTAATTTTAAGAGAAAATTATACAAGATTAAGGCCGTTCAGAATCAGAATTGACTATAAGAAAATCTTTCTACCAACCAAGACAATTACAAGTACTAATTATTATTACTGGTTCTCATTCTAATTATTTTCTTTTCTAACATTATTTTTATTGGTTGATAATAATGCATTTCCAGAAAGAGATCCTTTACACTATGTTTGGTTCAAGAAGTTTAAAAGAAAAAGGTAAAAATTAATATGGAAAACAAATTTTCTTGTTTGGTTAGAGAGGAAAAGAAAAGAAAATTGAAAGGAAAAGAAAATGAGAGGGAGATATGAACTACTAAGAAGTGAGAAGGAAAAAAAATCATTTTGGCGAAAAATATGAGAGAACACTGATTTCTTTTTGTTTCCTTCATAATTCCTTGAACCAAACATATTGTTGATTTTAGAAATGGTTCTTTCTCAACAACAACAAAAAGAAGAAGAACAAACCAAGTAAAATCCCACTAAGGTGTAGGGAGTAGATATGCTATTTCCAAAGGCAAATTCTATCGGGGACCTAATGGACCTACATATGAGCATATTTCTTTACAACTTAAATAAACATTTGTTTTTTTAAATAAAAAAGTAATGAAAGATTGTTTTATGTAAGAAGGTCTACAAAATTGATATGCACCCAAAGTGCACCAAAGAAACATTCATTTCTAAAAGACTCCAGCCCAATATCAAAAGATCAAAGAAAAATGGGAAAGACAAACTAGAGGAGCACAACAGAAACAACACAGACGTAGATACAACAAACTAAGGCAACATTAACCATTTAACCATTTCTAACAACACAAAATGATTTTTTTTACTCATTTTTACAAAGAAAATAGATAATGCAGTACTACAGAACCAAATAAGCTTTGAACAAATATTATGAACAATGTAAGGACTATATTAAGAGTTTGTTTGGTAGAGAGCTTATTTAAGAGCTTTTGACTAATTTTAATCTCGAAACATGTGAGTAGCTATATTTCGAAGGATAATTTAAAAAAATTAAAGCACTTCTCTTGGTAAAAAAACATTAAATATGATTCAATAATACTTTTTTGTTTAAATATTAGACAAAACTAAGTTTATAAACAGGGGCTCCTAATAACTAGCCAAATAACAGGGAAAAATTGGGAGAAAAACACATTTTAATCACATTCAATCCAAAAACACAAAAAAAAAAATCTTTTTGAGGAAAAAAGTTAGTAAATTCACATCAACTACTGCAAAAAAAGGTCAAATTGCCAAAAATTAGGCACTCTTCATTTGGGAGTCTACCAGATATGAGACATGAATGTCACCTTGCTGAAATAAGCAATTGACCCTAGATCTGTCAATAGAGTCACATTCCCATTGATTTCATGCATATTTAATTAAAATATGATGCAGATGAACATAAACCGTTAGATCCGAGACCATACACGCAAGAATACGTATATAAAAAATACTTAGAGCAAAATATGGAGGAAATTACCTGAAAATGTAGGAAGGTTGTTTATTACAGGTCTCAAATTCCGGAAACGGAGCTGCAATCTCCGGCCACGGCGTTCAATATTTTGATTTTCCCTAAGCTGCAATCTCCTGCCATGACATATTTTAATAAGAATATTATCTCATTGATTATCTAAATTTAATTAATTTTTAATGTATATATAAAATATATATTTATTCTAATGTATATATGAAGTAATTATTAAAATATTAAATTAATATTCTAATTTCACAAAAAAATAATCATAAAATAAAAAAATATTGATTATATTATAATATGAATTATCATTACAATTTTCAAACGTTATTATAAGTCAAATCAAATTATTGATTTTAATTTTAAATCAAATCATAATTAATCACATCAGATCCGATCAAATCACATCCAATCAGATCAGATCAGATCATATCAGAAAAAATAAGTTGAACGGAATGGAGCATTAGTTTATTTTAAGGCCCCGTTTGGTATACGGAATTCAAACTATAGAATTGGAATTGAGGACTTCAATTCCAAATCTGGTGTTCGGTAGCACAAAAATTATTTGGATTTAAAATTGATAGTGCAAAAAATGAATTAAAATTAGTAAATTCAATTGTATGGAATTGAATCCCATGGAATTTCAATTCAATTCCAATTCCATTAATTCTATATACCATACGGACCTTAAAGCATTTAAATTGAGGAGCATTTTTGTTTGGTCCGAATTCCTGTTACATCAGTATTCTACTCATAGTTTTCAGAACCGAACTGGTAATCGAACCAATCAAGATACTGGTTTACTGGTCGAACCAGTGGTTCAAACATTTTATATATATATATATATATATATATATATATATATATATATATATATATATATATATATATATATATATATATATTGTGGCATTGAATTAACAAAACTAATATACGAGTAAATAAAATAATATTTCCTATTTTTATAAATAAAGAATTGATGTTTGACTAAATTTATAATTTAACTTAATTTACTTGAGTTGTGTCATTAAATAAATAAATAATATTTACTTATTTAAAAGAGCTTATAAATAAAAAGTGATTTGAATTTTTTAAACCATTTTACCTAGTATTTAAATAAAAAAGTTGTTATTCCAAGACCACTGACTCCATCTAATACGAGAATTCCACTCAAGTTGCTAAGAAGAAAATTCAATGTGGTTACTTTATATGCAATGATGATTAACAAGAGACACGTTGATTATTCTTACGGAAACCGGTAGTTATTAGTCATAGATAACTATATATTGCAATTTAAAGAGTAACAAATCGTAATAACTTGAAGATTTTGATATACAATGCAAAGGATCCCACGAATTGAACCAGTAATGTAGTTTATAAAGGTGTTTTTTAAAATGTATAATCTTTTGATATTCATCCTTGAAACACTTTATATTCTATTATATACCAACGTGTATTCTTCAATAACGATCTTAATACAGTTTAATAACGTAAATACGAGTCTTGCAACGCATCATTGTGATACTAGTTTAATATCAAAAACTTCATTTGAAAGTGTTTTGATATAGGGAGATCTGGAATCTTTTTTTTTTTAAGTTTCACGAAATACCCATAGAAAAAGTACTAATACCAAAACTCATATTTCTACCCTTACCAAGTCACCATTCAAGCCCTTAATGATTTTTAGGAAAGCGATAGAGTGGGCTTACCAAGGATACCCATTCATGAGTAAATAAAAATAAAAGCCCGTGAATTAAACAGGCCGCGGGAGACAACCTAAAATGTGGGCTCAGATCTTCGGTTTAACACGGAATGAATTCATATAGTGGGCCAAAACCCACTTTGCACCTTATTGTTAGAGTATCCATCCACATGGAGTGCATGGTATTGTGCCACGTCCCTACTTATTCTATCCCGCAAAAAAAAATAACTCCCTTCGTCCTAAAACTATTTTCTCAGTTATTATTCACACGGTCAAAATTAAATCACTTTTTTTTACCTATTTTCGTTAGTTATTTGATAAAATAATATAATCTTGTCACCTCTTATTTTGTAGAACTTTTGATGTAGTTTTTAAATATATAAATTTTAGTTTTTAATTTTACACCTACAAACAAATAAATTGAATTGAAAATAAAGTCGGTCAAATCTCGTAAACACAAACGGAAAGATGATTTTAGAACAGAGTATATTTTAAAAAAAGTGGAACGCCTACCCTGTGCGACTCCACACTCCGGTCCGACAAAATTGTGAGGAGGTAAATCATGGAATAATCTCAATCTGGCCCTTAGAGAGATCGCCCTGTTTCCGATCCGCACAAGGATCTATTACAAATCACAGAACTCCCACACTACCGTTACCGGGACTCGACCATATAATCAATAGACTTGACATCCTCTCTTTGGACCAGTTACTATCCGGGCAAAAAAATTATATTTAAATGTTCTAAGAATATTAGAATCCATTTTTTAATGCTTCATTGTTTCTTTATTTATTTATTATCAAATATTTTACTTGGTCCTAAAATCTATATTTATTTCATACATCTTAGTACATTAATATCATAAAAAATCGGCCCGGTTCCATGGCCACTGGAATCCAGTGGCTACGGAAGCCACTGCCCCCTACGGAACTCCGTTCATAAAATTAATGATTCCTATCCCCTCTAACCCCCCCGGTAAACCCCCCCTGCCAAGTCCCGACCCAAACTCATCACCCCACCTACGTCAATTGCACCTCGTAAGTATAATTGACTTTAAAGTCAAAACTTTTGACTTTATGCTTACGAAGTGCAATTGACGTAGGTGGGGTGATGAGTTTGGGTCGGGACTTGGCAGGGGGGTTTACCGGGGGGTTAGGGGGGGTAGGAATCATCAATTTTATGAACGGAGTTCCGTAGGGGGGCAGTGGCTTCCGTGGCCACTGGATTCCAGTGGCCATGGAACCGAGCCGTAAAAAAATTAGACCTTAAGACCTTAGACCTTTGTTTTTGTAAAAGGTTCAATTCTTTTATAATATCAATGTACTAAAATCTATAAGCTTATAAAATTAACATGAATTTTAGGACAATGTAAAAATTTCGCCAATAAAAAAAAGAAAGAAAGAATGAATCGATATTGCATGTGGATGGACACGTGACATACACTTGTCGAGGCCTCATGGTCCAGAATATGAATCAGCACTCGCCGTCGAATGACACGTGTCAACTCTTCTCATGACAAATACTACTTGCATGCGTATTTATACAGGGGAGTACTCCGTATACTCTTAACTTACGCCGTATTTGTCAAAATATACGGTTGCTATATATATAGAGTAAGTTGAAAATAATAATAAAATAAATAAATATTAATAGTAAGGCGAATAAATTGCAAAAAATGAAGGGTGTGAAGGAGACCGCCGGCAACATCGGCGCTTCGGCGGTGGCTGGAATGGAGAAAACCAAAGCCGTCGTTCAAGAAAAGGTGCGCACCTAATTATTACTACCTCCGTTCTTAAAAGAGTTCCTCTTTTGACTTTGGGGGAAAATAAGGAAGTGTTAAATTGTAGTTGACTTTCCAATTTTGCCTTTGGTGTGATGAGTAAAAGTAAGATGTGATAGTTTAGTTGTTAGTGAAAAAGTATGATGTGATAAGTAGGGTATGAAAAAGTAGGGGGTAAAAGTAATTTTTTAATAGAAAGGGGAAGTATTTAAAAAAAACAAAAAAAATGAAAAAGGAAGGGTTTTAAGAAACGGAGAGAGTATATAATAGTCCTAATTCTTTTTAATTAGGACAAATAATGTTATTTTGGACCTAAGGTAAGCGGACTTTCATATAAGTCTAGTGTCTAGTAATTAAATAAATACTTACTACCCTCATAAATAATTTTTTTTTTGGAAAATAATACAACCTTCGTCTCGGCCTTTTCTTTCGTTTGATTTTTTCGAATTAAACAGGATAAAATTAGGGTTCAATTAATATTAATTTTTGTATTGCATTTTATTACAAATAAAATTTTTAAAGGTTTTGACAAGGTAAATCTAATAAACTATTTTTATACTAATATATATTACAATTTTTATTTGGTTGAAGCTCAAAATTTATCATGTTTAATTCAAAAAAATCAAACTGAACAAATACACTTACCGTGGTGGAAAACATTTGCTTACCACCATTTAATACTAATCCTAATTTGATTTGGGAGATTTGTACAAATCCTTGTTTAAAAGGAAAAATAATTAAATTGGCTTTGTTCATTTCTATTTATATATAAGAGCATGTCACATGTGATAAAAATAAAACACTTTTGTACTAACACTATTATCAAAATTTATTTAGTTTGACTGAGATAACTGATGATATATTCAGGTCGAGAGGATGACGGCACACGATCCAATCGAAAAGGACATGGCAACACAGAAGAAAGAAGAACGGATCAGGCAAGCGGAGGAGAAGAAGCAAGTGAAAATGGCCCATGATTCAATCACGTCGTCGGGCAACCACCCGCACTCATATTCGAACACTACGGGTCCCACAACGGGCCATTCGACCGGGCTTCACCAAATGTCGGCCATGCCTGGGCACGGCACCGGAGCTCCCACGGGACCGGTGACGGAGGGGGTGGTGGAGTCTCACCCGATCGGAACTACGGACGTTCCCGGGCCTACGACCACCACCGCCGCCTCCCATGTAGAGGAGCCTGGCGGCGCTGGTGCTATCAAGGGCGGCTGTGGCTACGGAACTGGCGGCGCTCATAACTAATCGATTATGAGATTAGTTTATTTATAAATTTGTTTTTTAAATTGGATTTTGTGCGTTCCTATATATAATACTCCTAAGGTATACTACGTAATAATGTATGAATGTTAACCCCTCGTGGTTTTCTCAAGTGGGTTTTTACTTTTTACTATATACTCCCTCCGTCCCAAAAAGTCCGACACGTTTCGAAAAAATTGCGTCCCGTAAAATTCGTTACATTTCTATTAAAAAATCACTTTTAACCCTTACTTTTTCATATCCTACCTATCACATCATATTTTTTTCCTAATAATCTACCCATCACATCAAGGATATTTTTGGAAAATCAACACCAAAATATCCCTTCCTTAATTTCCCAAAAGGAGGGAGTATAATATACAAAATGAAGTGTTATCATTTTGCACTAAAACAAAAAGTGTTACTCCGTAGCGTGCATTGATTTAAAAAAAAAAACTAGTCAAATGTTATTATTACAACTTTGCAAAAACACTAATTTTAACCTAAGTATTCTTCTCTTAATATTTTGTCTTGTGTTACACACCCTCATCTTTATATTTCAAGATGAGCTTATTAATTCTATCACAATATGATGTGTTTTTTGTAATTTAGTCAAAATTTTATAATATACTCCCTTCGTTTTTATGATTTAAATAAATTTTAAAATAATTAAACATTATAAAAATTTCATATTTCAAAATTATATTTTAAAATAAACTAAATTTTATTAAATTTACATTACAACTAAATATATTTTTTACGCAGTTCGCAGTCAGAGGGTACAAAAAAAATTAAATCATTTAGAGTATGAAGAAGTATTAAGAAAAGTCAAATGAACCAAAGAAAACAAAGTGATTATTGTTCATTCAGACTATAATACCACCTCATGAATTAAAGTGGATAAACTTTGGGTTCTAATTACTTTCAATTCGTATTGCATATTAATATTATAAAATACAATTTTGAAAGTTTTCAACATGATAAATCTAATAAAATTATTTTAATGTTAAAATACATTACAATTTGTATTTAATTAAAGCTTAAAATTTATCTAATTTGATTACGAAAAATCAAACTGGACAATTACACTAGGACGGAGGAAATATTTTTTTTAATATAAACTTTAAACATACAACCTTATTTTCTTAAATTTGTGTAATTGATTCTTCCTGTTTTCCCAAAAATTGATGTCCCAAAATGAAGAAGAATCGCTGTAAATCTGAAGGGAAGAAAAAAAAGATGTGCATGGGCAACCCAAAAACTTCACTTCTACAAATTACAATAGTCAAAGTAAGCACTACAGAAATTGTTAGAAGAAGAACCACACAAGTTACACACAAACTAACCTACTGTAAAAAGAACAAGTCTCTCTACAAACCAAAAGCCACTACTAATTAATGTCAACAAGACATTGAGCACCATATGAATTCCCAAAACAAGCCAATATAATGTAGTTATAGGCTTTTGGCCAAGCACCCCTCCTCCCCTAACCCCAATTCTCTAACTTGCGCTTACCTTTTCTACTGGCGGCAGCCGCGGTGGCTCTTCCAGAGTCAACACCAGCCTCAGGGGACTCATCCACCACTACCTGCTGCTCCTGTAAAACCAGACCTCTGTTCCTAGACAACTTCCTTATCGGTGTACTTGTCTCTCTTTCGGTCTCGCCTTCAGCATTCCTCTGCGGTGCTTCACGGGCAGTTTGGACGTCTTTGTTTCTGTGAGGCATTAGTTCCTCCCCTTCCACAACAGAAGCCATCATTTGCTGTGTTGTTGTGAGGAAGTAACAATGAGGAAATAAGAATTCTTCAAACTTTCAAAACAAACAGCCAGAAAACATATGCTTTGCAAAAGTAAAGATGTGCAAATAAGACATTTTAGCCTTTTGTCAGAAAAGTATTGTTGTTTTGAAATTCAATGCATCTCTTTCTACTTATCTACAAAAGGAAACCAAATTAAAGCCAAAATTAACAAGTTTGCATAGTTTGAATATTGGGATCTCCAAGACAACACTTTGAGAAATATATTGTATTTCAAATGAATCTAATGATATTAAATGTATATCTAACGCAAATTTCGGTCAATGTTTGCAATGTTCAGCCAAAAAATTCTAATGCAAAATATTTAGGACAAGGGATAAAAAGCTATTGCCATGTTTATTTTTTAGATATAGATTACCAAAAACTTTTTCATTAAAAAAATAAACATTTCCAGATAATACTTGATAACCAGACTCATGAACTTAAATAAGGCTGGATTAGTGAATCGGATTGATTTCTCAATCGTTTGTACTTTAAACAGTGAATTATTTGAAGCACCTTCCAATCTTTAAAGTCAAATCTGAAAACAAAATGGCTATAGGAAACATTTCCAGAGAGAACTGCATCAGCAGAAGGGGCATTCTTTGGTGCTGCGAAAGAGATAAACACAGCGTCAGAAGATGAACACTCTGAGTAGGAGAATTAAAATGATGTGAATTTGGAGGAACATACAAACAGTGTGAACACCCTTCTCATCAACTCTTATTTCAGCCCTTCCATCTTTAGCCAGAAAAGATAGAGCAAACAGATTTTCAATTGTTTGTGCAAATGATCTTCTATTCAGCAGCAATACTTCAAGTTTGACCTTCTTGTGTTTCCTTAAGATTTGGAACATTGTTGCCATATTTTTGTCTGTGTCAGTACTTTTTTCTGATGCATCTGGAAGCTACAAAAGGAAACCAAATAAAAGTGTGATCATTTCACATGATATCATCCCAATGCTAAGGTTGGTAGCTTGATTCACCTTATTGGCTTAATCTACTTATTATGTTAATCAAAAGAATATGAATTACATTTTCAAAAAAATATAGATATGCATTAAAAGTAGCCTTTCACTACTTATTTGGCTAAAAAATGAATGTTACCAAACACTTAAGTTTTAAGAAAATCAGCAGATTAAGCCATTTTGGTTGACTAACACGTAGCAAACAGGTTCTTGGAAAAGAACAATGGTTTACTGATGTTATTCCAATTGCAATTCTAAATAAAGAGGTATGAGTTGCAACTTCAAGGACAATCATGGATTTATGATGCATATTATGGGTGTGAATTACGATAGTTGAATTACAGCTGACCAACATGAGGGCTCAAGTAACATTTCATATATTGATAGCCAAAAAATTAAACACGGCACCATGACAGAAAACCCTCTTTACCTTCTCCGGCCGTTCATTTCCTGTAGGCTTTACACGTTTTCTTTGTACTGCAACCTTTCTTAGCTTAACTTCAGTTGACATAGGCCCAATCCTGAAAAAAATTACATTTCTCTTAAATAAATCCATGGCATTTCTAAAATAAGAAATGATGGCAAAGGCCTATAAATACTAACATTGTACAACATCCCGGGGCACTCTTGAACACATCAGACACAGCATGGCCAACTTCCTTCCAGCGAATAGAATTTTGACTCTCATCAGATCTAGACCTATGACCCATTTGATCGCCAAACTGTGTAAGCAAACAAGTAACAAAATCCAAAGGGGTCACTCCTTCATTTCCATGTGCCTTAACAGAGGTTACTAAACTGTTTGTGATATCCAACAGTGTTTCAGCATCTGCAACTTGTTCTCTGGGGTTTTGTACTGAAAATAAGCCAATAAAGATCAGCATTATGATATTACCGCACTCAATTTTCTCTTGTAAGTTAACTTGAAGAGTAGAATAAAAATCCAGGTGCAATTGGAGTTTGCAAATAAACAAAACCACCAGTCATTGCGAACGAATGATACCTTTTTCATGTAGCTTTTCAACTTCTTCAAATATTGTACTAAATGTATCTGAATCAAACTTGGATAGATCATCTTTCACATCTGCAGCATACAAAACAGTATGTTTACTACTACATATAAAATCACCTTAAAAGGCAGTGCAACAATTAAGCAAGGAGTACTTTTTGATAAAATATAGTACTCCCTCCATCCAAAAATTATTATTCACACAGTCAAACTTTATTTACTTTGTTGACTTATTTTTGTTACTCATTTGATGAAATAATATAGTCATCATCTCTAATTTTGTAGATCTTTTGATTTACTCTATAGTTTTTAAATATATAATTTTTATTTTTTTAATTCTACATCATCTTTCATATAAAATAATTTGAAAATAACTTCAACCAAACATTATAACGCGTAACGGGAATATAATTTCTGGACGATGGGAGTATATTATGCTCCAGAACAGTTAATGTCAATTTTTTAGTGACAGAACTCAGCTTGCAACAACAGTAAATACTTTTATGCAATCTAACTGATTCATGTTTTTCTACTCCGTATATCAAAGCAAAATTAAGTAGAGCATTGCATCAAGGACCAGCAGAGTACTTGTGAAAGAATGCAAGATAGAAGCAGAGAGAAACGAGGAAATTACCACAAATCCGGGTCTTAACATTGAGATATCGAGATCTAAGAACTCTGCGGTCGAGAGTGTCTTCTTCCCCAGAAGTGTTATGGTGGCTGTCGCCATTGCTACCCTCCGCATCTCCTCGCCGGCTTCCACTCCGAGAACTCTCCACTTCGCGCTTCACAGCTCGCACCATAGTCGTTGCCAGAGAACCGGGGAAGAACAATTATAGCCAAATTAGGATCGAGGAATTCGGGTCGTACATACATATATAATTGGTAAAGAAGGTTTGGCTATGGAAATGGCAGGATTCAATGGAGAATTTTTGAAGGGGGGGGGGGGGGGGG